TTCAGGCCATTCACCAGGCGGAGCTCTGCAGGACTGGTGTGGATGGCCATAGGGTGGCTGGATGAGTCTACGGAAGGCACGAGATGTGCACCATGAAAACCCCCTTGCCCTTCATTCCTGCAGGACCATTCTGCACTCCACTATGGTTGTTGGCTGCGCCCAGTTGCTACCAATGTGCAGCCACCTCGAGACTGGGATGGAGGTGATGCCACATTGTCCCAGCAACCTGTGGTCTTTCCAGCTGTGCCTGGAGGTCTTGAGGATGCTGGGACAGGAGAAGGAGGGAAGTTTTTTTCCTGGCGTTCATGGGGCACCACATCCTCTTTGCAGGTGGAGGTGACAATTGAGGGGGCTCAGCACACCCATGTGCCAATGTCTGTTGGGACAATTCTGGCACTGGTGGCTCCAGCATCTACCAATTGCCATGAGCGCCTGCACCTCGACCAGCCACCAAAGCTGCAAGCTTTTGAAGCTCCAAGCTTTTGGAGCCTCACAGTTTGTGGCCATAAAAGAGTCTTCTCTAGCTGATTGTGGCTCGCCAGTGGCCAGGGCATGGAAACCATCCTGTCTCTCTTGTTGGTGATGGGAAGGAGTAATCTGGGTGTCTCCTCCTGGCCCCTCTCTCCCCTGCCTAAGGCTGTGTCTCACAGTGCCTGCCTGCAAAACACAATGGGTCTCTAGCCCTGCCCGAGTCCCCAAAACACACAGCCAAAGCAAGCACGCGGGGTCCTGCTCACCATGGAGGTGTGTGATATGCGAGGGGTCCCTACGCCTCCCCCAGAGGTGGTTCAGCATCTCAGGAAGGTGGAGTTAGCACAGGTAACGTTTCCAAGCCTGCCTCCCAAATTGCTCACTAGGCTGCAGTCCCTTGTACGGGACAAACCGCAAAACCATCCCTTGCTGGGGCCATAGGTGCTCTGTGCCGTAGGGAGCTTTTGGAAAATTGGGGGGGCAACACTCCTTGCGAGGGAATTGCTTTGTGGACCATGTGTCATCATCCCCCCCCCACCCCATAATTTCCACGAGGCATTACCTGAGCACACCACACCGGCATCTTCGCCGTGATGGCAGTTGTTCTTTCCCCAGCCTTTTGTCCTGCAGTAAGACAGGGCGACCTCTGTGCCCGTGCAGTTGACATCGTCCAGCCAAATGGGACCATACCCTGCCCTGAAATGCCCGGCCCCAGGGGCTGACAGCACCGTGCCACAGCCCAGCTGCCGGCACACCACACCAGCATCCTCCAGGTCCCAGTGGTCATCGCACACCGTTCCCCACCGGTTCTCGTAGAAGACCTCGACCCTGCCGGCGCAGCGGTGTGGGCCATCTGACAGGCGGAGAGGAACCCGCTGGGAAGCAACCAAGTCTGCAAGAGGGATACAGAGAGGATCCGGTGTGGAAGAGCAGCACCGGGAAAGGCTGCCTCACTTGCATGAGCTTCATGGAGCTTCTGCAAATGGCAGTGGCTTATGTGAACCATGGACGTGCTTCTCCTTTGGCTCAAAGACAAACCCCCCCCCCAAAAAAAAAAATCCAAGTCCAGGAGAGAAAATGCTCTGCAAACGCCCTTTTTGAAAAACAGTTATCTTTAAAGGGGCTTCAGATATTTTTTTGCTTAGTATTCCCAATCAATGAAAAGGAATGGACTGACTGGCTGGACTGAAAACTCTGGGAAACTGTATGTAGGGAGTAGCTGCCAGCCATCTGATGGAAAGGGGTGTCTGTCTGTGTGCAACCTGGTGCTTTAATTAGCGATTTGCATGATGTGATAGGGAGCCTGCACAGCAAATTAGCCCATGGGCCCTAGCCAAGTGGAGCTGCGTCTTAGAGGAGGGCATTAGACAAGCTGAAACTACAGCAAGAAAGGTAAATATGAGGTGTTTAATTGCTGTGTCAGTAAGCGCTGGAGTGGATGAGCCGCTGTGGGATGCTCGGGTTAGGGTCTGGGTAGAGGCTGCAGCATCTCCTGGAGAAGGGGATGCAAAATGAGGTAGGCAGAGGCAAAAAAAAAAAAAAAGAAAAGCACCTTGGCATCCCACTTGCAGCACAATTGGTCACCTCCTGGAAAGCCTCCGTGTCTGCAGGGCGCAGAGCAGAATAAACGCTCCTGTTTGCGCTGGGGGGAAGAGGACTTTGTGCCCTTTGTAAACGAACCGGCTGGCCCTGAAGCGGTGGCCAACACAAATAAGGAATTTCTGTTCCTGACTGTCACTGGTTGGTAAGGCTCCAAGCATTTCCCAATTGCTCTGTGCAAGGGCAGCAGCCCAGAGGCCAGGATAATTACTCGGCTAACAAGGTCTCCTTCCCCATCCACCTCTTTCTGTTCCTTTTGAAGGCTGGCGGGTCGAAGGAGGCTTTGCCCCATCCATCTGCAAGCCCAGTCCCCCCCATCCCTGAAGATCTCCAACCCCCTCTTTCTCCTAGGATGCTCCTTCCCCCGTGCAAGAGCCACTCACCGCAGAGGCATACCAGGTAGATGAGGAGCCCTGCTCCGGCGAAGCCAGACAGGTTGCTGTGCAGGGACAGGAGGCAACGTCCTGAAAACCCCATGCCTGTCACATATGCCTTAGGACAGGTGACCGTCCCAGTGCGAGCTGCAAGCTGACCTGGGTGCCGTGGGTGGCGAGAGCAGGTTTGTCCCCTCCTCTGCAGCAACATGCCCTGTGTTTGCCCAGCGCTCATCCCTCCTCCTCCACTGACCCCTCCTCCCTGCTGTCCCTGGGATTTTGCCCTCTAGTTTTAAGTGGTTTAAGTGTCCCCTCAGCACCCGAGCCACGTCTGCTAGGAGGCTCCCCACGTTCCCAGCTGCGTCTGCCCTGTTTCATCCCCATCTCCCCAGTCCCCAGCCAGCTCCAGGCTGTGGATCCAGCAGCAGGAGGGTTTGCAATGCTCACTTACGGAGGTTTGCACCCTCAGGAAAAGCCGAGCCTCATCTTGCAGGTATCCAAAGGTGAACCCCCGCTATACAGAGATACCCTCAGGGTGCTTGCAGAGGGCAAGAAGCCTCCTTTCCCCTGCCAAAATAAGGAGTTTCGAAGGGTTGTGTACATTGAATAGCATGCTCTGGCTGGAGTCTGTCCCAAAGTCACGTCGCTGAAGCCATCGCGCGTATAAAATGCACAGCATGTATTCTGGGAGTATCACATAATACAAAGTGTAAGGGGAGTGTGGTCCAGAAACCGTGCTGTAGCAGCTGAGATCAAGCTGCAAACCCGTTCAGGTTTTGGGCACCCTGTTGCGTTGATTCTCATAAGCATGATTCAATAACTGTGAAGCCAGAAGAAGAGAGTGAGACTGCATCCCTGTAGGCTTGCATATGATGGGCTGGGTTTTGAAGTCCTGCAAGGTGTGAAATGCATGATGCTCATGAAATCACTGATGTCCAGGGTAAACAAATCATTTTTGCCTAGTAAGACAGTATGCAGAGGGGAACCCCCCCCCAAAAACCGTGTTCCGCTTTCAGCATTGCTATCCCAACATCTGCATTTCGAAACCCCACCCTCACTGCATTTGTTCAGTGCAAGTGAAAAGGGGTTCGTGTGTTCATGCTCTCAGTGGTGGGAGGGTGCAAGAGCTTTGCAGGCATCACAGCTTGGAGAGACTTGGACCGCAAGCCCTGCTGACATCCCTCATGGACCCATTTTTAAGGATTCTGTGAAGCAGAGACACGGAAGCAAGTTTGGGGTTGAGGGATGCCCATTTTGACCAAGTATTTGGCCAAGAGATCATTGTATAACTTACCTTTAACTCTTACTGTAACTCCTAAGTAAGAGCTCAAGGTAAGTTATAGAGCATTTCCTGCTGGGTCTGAGAAGTGTTCGATCCAACCCACCCCATAAGTAGCACAGGAGACGGGGTCAACATGCAAACCAGGCCACTTCTGATGGCCTCCAGCCTCCCGGCATCTAGGCATGTTCCCTGTAGCATCTGCTTTTAGACACATTGTTCACACTTCTGCCTAACTTCTCTTTGAACTAGCATCAGCCCCCGCAACCCTCCCTGAGGCAGCAGCTTCCAGAAACTCCCAGACCTTTGTGCAGTCTCTGGACCTGCTCTACTTGCAGTACACCCTTCCTGAGACATGGTGACCAGCATTACACACGCTACAAAAGACCTGGAAGAACCAGGATTGTATATTGCAGCAAAATTATACCCTGCCTTGTCCGCAATACTCTTCTTAGGGTATGCAACATTTTGTTTGAGTTTTTTTGACTGCTGCAGCACACAGAGATGATGATTTCGAGGAAGTCATTTGCAGCTGCCTACTGGAAAAGGAAAACATTCAAAGCCTGACGTGATGGACCATGAATTCCGTTGCATTGCGTTGCATGGATGTATAGCTGATGGCAGAAAATTGCCTTATTATTCGAGGGCAAGCAGTTGGAAACACTATCCTGTGACTGCCTTGCAGTCTCCAAACTTGCTTGCACTTTCCAGGGAAAGCAAAGACATCACGTATATGCCAAGAGCTGAGTGTTGCAAACTGTTCTGTGCAAGGTGGGGATGCAAGATGGGAGAAGCCATCAGGATAAATGGCCTGATGCTGGCAATTACATGATTTTCTCCAACACACCCGATGCCCCTCTCCCCGCAGCCAGACTGTGGACTCCCCAGCACCATCCCTGGACATTTGGGCTGCCACATGCCCCGGCAACCCTTCGGATCCACCCCAGAGCCCCTGAGGATCCTTGCGGTTCTGGATCCGGCATAGGCAGCCAAGCAGCCCCAGCTGCTCTCGCAGACCCTCCGGGGGCCAAGTCCAGCGCCATCAGGGCTGGGAGCGGGGAGGAGACGGTACTGGGGAGGGACCTAAGCTGTGCTCAGTGTCATGGTCGCAACTGGGTAGTAGGGGAGGAGGATACAAAGCAAATTGCTGCCTGCCCAGCCACTGACACCCCACCCCTTCATCTGCCCATCCTTTGGTGTCCTCCATACTGAACCTTCCCCAAGAGCCTCCAGAAGGAGCTCCCTCCCAGGGGATCATCACTGCAATGATACTCAGGAGACACAAAAAAGGATATTCCATGGAGAAGTATCTCTGTTAGCAAGGGCCATTGCCTTATTTATCACCCCACGGAGAAGGCAGCATGACTGATGGGTCAGAAATGTCAGCGTCCTGGGGCAGCAGGGCATGGACCGGAGTTACCCCCATGGCCAATTTGCAGAGGGCACTGAAAGGGACTGCAGGAACAGGCTGGAAAATGTGTGTAGGATCAGCACACCCCAACCTTGGATGTTTCAGAGACCTGTGCGTGGGTGTCAGTTCCTTTTTGCAAGGTGCCCTTATGTCCCTCAGTGCCATTAGACACATGCACTCAGCTACCCAGATCCTATTTCTACCCTTAAAAAGAGCGTTACTCCACTTCTAACCCTTTCTTGCCACCTCCATGGACTTTAAACACAACCTGAACGATGGGCAGGTTGTAGAGTCAAAATTAGTGCCCAAGGAGATGTTGGGTGGTGGGTGGACTGCCTGTCCCACCACATTGGTGGCTGGATCTCCTGTCTCACCTCCCAGCCCTCTGCAAAGAGCCAGCTGAGCATCCCCGGTCGAATATCCAGGTTGCATCAAACTGGAACAACCCAGGGATGTGTCCAGAACGGCTCATCCGCAGGAGATGAAGGAGCAGGAGGCTCTGCAGTAGCCCGAGATGACCACTCAGCCATGCAAGGGAGGACCCTGGAGCTGAACTCATCTAAACTGTGCTGGGAAAAGGCTGAAAAGGGAACTGTGCTTCCTAGGGGGAACTGTGCTTCCTAGGGGTGGAGGTAGGTGGAGTGTAACCCTGGCCCACAGCTTTAGGAATGAGAAGAAAGAAAAGCTAACTTTGCAAAGCCTGCTGCATCTCCATTACCCTCATTAGGGTCATTAGGGGAATGACCGTTACCCAGCTTATTAGCAGAGAGCAGGACCAAGACAGTCAGGGGTCAGCACAGGATGTCCTTGTGGCCTAAGGCAGAACTATTAATTCTGATGTATGTTTTAATCTCAAATTGCCTGAAATAAGGTGTGTTTCAGCTGACTAAGGAGTGTTTCTGCAGCACAAAAGCAACCATGTGTTGCATACCCCAGGTCATGGTGCCAGGACCTGGGTGCCTGGTGGGACAAGATCTACTGAGATAGCTTTGGGAGACTGGATAAAGGTTGAGGGATCCAGCCCTGCTGTAGTCCCTACCACCCTCCAGAAGCAGCCCATGGAGTGCAGGACATCTAGGGGTGTCCTGGGGCTCTGAAAGCCAGGGAGAAACATAAAGCTGGTGTTATAGCAGAAGCCTTGAGAAAGGGAAACACAAGTCGGTGTAGAGGACAGGCATGGGACGATAAGAGATGGGGCACACTGGAAAGCCCACGGCTATCAGCAGCTCACTGATCATCAGCTTGCAGGCCTGGATCTGGACAAAAACAGTTTTAGGGGTAACAAAGAACAAGTACCCAACACAGAGAAAAAGCCCCATATATAGTCAGTTTGGGTGCAATATTGATTTGCGGGCAGATAAGGGAAGAACAAAGTGAAGGTATGCCAGAAAACAATTGAATCCGAAAATGGAAGAAGGTGAGGAGGAAGAAGAAATCCATCACACTCTTTCCTGGAAAAAGCTTGGACCCCTGATGACCCACTGCCTAGCCCCCTTACATGAGGAAGACTGGTGCCATTGACCTTCAGATTGAGGGAAGAGCAGAAAAGTGAGCATAGGACCTGGAAAGTGGCAGAAACTAGGGAGTGTGTCCTGGGCGACTCCTTTTTAGTGCAACAGAGCCCAGGACCAGTTAACTGAAAATTCCCAACATCACCATCAACTAGACTATGAAATGTTCACGCAAGGCTTACTACAAGTTTAACACAAAGAGTTACTACTCGGAGAAGCGCTTCCACAAGCCTTAAACACTCCTCCATACATACCACAGCCATAGACTTGGCCATAGTCTTGTCTGGTCCTCCTTTGCAAGTGTCCTGCACACTGTAGGATCAACTTTCACTTATAAGTTCTCCAAGCTTTTGGCCTGTTTGGGCTCTTCATGCACTCATTTCCTTTGGCAGATGCTTTCCACACATTGTGCAAGTCATCTTCTGTTTTCCAGTTTGGTCAGTCCTCTCAGGGCACTCCAAGCCTTCATCTTCTAAGCCCCTGCGACCCAGCGTGCATCCCCCATTTCCTTTCTTCCCCTGCCTTGCAGATATTCATGCTTTTACCCCACCACAGCCACCGTATTGATCACATCACTCATCCTGTTTCCCTCTGGTTGGCTACCTATTTTCCTGGTCCTTCGTGAGCAGGACTGTCCTGCCAACACATGGCAGGGTGCTTGCATGGGATCCTGCTCAGCTGCTCATAATCCAGTATCACTTGGGTTGGCATGAGCCACGGTGGTGCCCAGTGCTTATTTCTATGATCAGAGCTTCTTAAACCTCCTGTCAGCATCTCTCTGCATGGCTGACTTGCACCTCTGTGCCCTCCAAGCCCTTCACAAGAAGCCCCTGTCCTCTGAGAGGCCCCAGGAGACTGATATCCAAGGACACAAGGCACAGGAGCATGTCTGGGAATACAGCAGATGGAAGAGATCAGTGAGATCTAGTTGCCTCCATACAGATGCATCTAGTGAGCTGTAGGTCCTTTGTCACGTTTGCCAGTCCCATATCAATGTCCTAGAGCTAGGGCATCTCGGATGGCTCTAAATATCTGCGTAAGGCCTAAACTGAGCTTTCAGGTGGAGTTTGTAAAACTGTTCAACTTAACCACTTTAGGGAAACAAGCCCGTGGCATATACTTTGGGGTAAACTTTGCAGCCTCCACTGACTGGCTATTAAAAAAAGAAGAAAAAAACCTCCAAGAGTAAAACACTGCTTGAGTCTTAGAGAATGTTTTTATTTTCACAAATGCACAAAAAAGAATTTGAAAGTGAAATTTGAAAAAAAAAAATCTAAAATTTCTACGCATCAAATGTCTTCCACATGCTGACTGTTGGTGCTGCATGGTGTGTGTCATGCCTTGTATTGCTCGGGGTAATCGACTGAGGTGGGCATGGAGATGGGTGGTGACCTAGCTCTGTAGAGACGAGGTGGTCCAGGGCCCTTGGTAAAAGAGCTGTGTGCTGGGATGGAGCTGCATCACCAGAGTTTTAGGTCTGGGCTGGTCACAGGCTGTGCTGAGCTCTCTTGTTGTCAGCATGCCCAGCAGGAGCCACCTTGGCTGCTGCTTGCTTTTCTCCAGGCATCGAGATGGACGTGTCAGAGACAACCGGCTCCTCCATGTGCACAAAACCTGCAGAGCATGGTGATTCAGTCGACGGTTTACTCCACACACCCTGAATTTTCCTCTTTTTAACAAAACCAACTGAGAATGCCTGCTCCATTGGAGACAGCACAAATCACTTTGGCTTGGCCAACAATAGTGGCAGCACAGGGCATACCACCATCACCCCTGCCAGCACTCAGACATGAAGCTTGCTTTGCAGAAACCACCCTTGATCCAGCATTTGGTCCACACACAGCACCTTCCATCAACATGATGGACGTTCAACAAGACAACACGGGGATATTCAACACAGGCAACCCCACTTTCCAAGAGTCTCCACCACAGCCTTCAGGAATAGACACAATTCCTGGTCTTTTCTCACCCCTCGGGCTAAAGGTGGAACATCCCTTGCCAACAGGGAGCTAGGAACCCATAGAGCCATCCTCTGCTCAGAGCTCCTGGATGATGTCCAGGCAGGGCAGGCAGCAGAGGGAAGCACAGGCAGTGTTCGAGGAGGCTTCAAGGGCTGTGCCACCTCCCAGCGTGTCCGTAACCCAGCAGGGAAGATGGTGTCAAAGTGAAAGGGGAAGAGTGGAAAGAAAGAGAAAGGGGAAAGGGATGGGGAGAGAAGAGGTCAAACCCGAAAAGGAAGTTCCTTTCAACACGAGCCACAGGGAAAAAAACCTTCTGCCCCAACTCTGCTGACCTCTATGTTTTGAACAAAACTCATTTCCAACCACACACTTCTGCAAACTCTGTTGCCCTCTTCACTCACAGCGGAGCTCACGTAGGGGGGAATTAAAAGCTCCGTTTTGCATTCGTTTCCTCCTCTGGTACAGAAGAGCCCCGCAGACCAGCATCAAGACTGGAGGGATGATCGAGACCAGCAATGGGAGCAGTGGCAGAGGCTGTGGAGGTCTGATGGTAACAGAGCCTGTGGGGAGAAAGCAAAGATCTCTTCATTCAGAGCTAATTCAGGAGGTAAACGGACATCACAAGGACATGAGGAAATGGGCACAGTGTGCACCGTGGCAAATTCCCATTAGGCAGTGGAAAATACTTTTTTCCCCCATGAGGACGGTTAAATATTGTAACAGAGATGAGAAAGGCATTTGGATCTCCATCCTTGGGGACTTTCACATCTTCGCTGGTCAAGGCCATGAACAACATGATCTAGTTGGTCTAATAGAGAGTGGAAGATTAGACCAGAGCTCTCCAGAGATCCCTTCCAATCTACATAATTTTGTGATCGTATGATTCAGGAAAGAAGATACAAAGAAAGCTTCTGCTAAGACCCTGTCACCATCAGGCACGGTCTCCTCGGTGCTGTAGCACCTTTGCACTGGTTGTGGCCGTTCAACATCCACATCCATGCACCATCTGGTGCATCACGACTCTCTATTCTTCAAGGGTGGACTGCTGGGGAAGCCAAGGCCATTCAAGGTGTCACCACTCTGACTGCTCCAAGCTGGGCAATCCGCAGAGTGGCTTATTCCTGGTGGGCCTCACCAGGGCTGGATGATTGCAGAATGGTCCCTTCTGCAAACCATGTCCCATGGACACCCGTTTCTCTCCTCAAAGAAGCCTAGGTGACCTAGTTAAAACAGAGGTGCCTGCGGGATATGCCACCCATGTGGTACTCTCCTCAGGGAGAGTGCATTTGCGTCCAGATGGCTCCCAAGCAAGTGCATCCAGTCCTGGATAACTCACTGGATGCAGACATCCTTCTTAGAAGGACATGGAGATACCTCTCTCTTCCCACTGGCCTTGAGGGAACCACAGAAGCCTCAAGGTTTGTCCGAAGTTAGGTGGGAAGAGAAGGGCAAGGCTGGATACTGGGACAAGTCTTTTCAACACCAACCATGGCCCTCATCTTCCCAGCTCAGCCATGAGGATATTCCCCATGCTGTAGCTTTTCCTCCTAGAAGGTTTTCATTGTAATATTTCTTATGGCCAGGACCATTCCCCTCCAACATGTGCTGAGTGCATACAAAGGAACCCCCATCCTGAGATGACATTGTTGGCCGAGGTGCTCAAGACGATTCCAGTGAGGTCTACAATCGTAGGACCCAGCTTGTGCTGAATGAAAACCCATCTTCACTCTCCAGCGTGCACATCCCTGTTTCTGCCTCCTGACACACTGGCAGGGGTGCACTCTCCGAGCTTGAGCAAGGACATCACACCAGCATAGAATGGTTTGGGTTGGAAGGGACCTTTAAAGGTCATAGAATTATAGAATCATTTAGGTTGGAAAAGACCCTTAAGATCATCGAGCCCAACCATTAACCTAACACTGCCAAGTCCACCACTAAACCATGTCCCAAAGTGCCACATCTACATGTCTTCTAAATACCTCCACGGATGGTGACTCAACCACTTCCCTGGGCAGCCTGTTCCAATGCTTGAGAACCCTTTTGGTGAAGAAATTTTTCCTAATATCCAATCTAAACCTCCCCTGGTGAAACTTGGGGCCATTTCCTCTCATCCTATTACTTGTTACTTGGGAAAAAGAGACTGACACCCACCTCGCTACAACCTCCTTTCAGGTAGTTGTAAAGAGCAATAAGGTCTCCCCTCAGCCTCCTTTTCTCCAGGCTAAACAACCCTTAGTCCCTCATAAGACTTGTTCTCTAGACCCTGGGTCATCTAGTCCAACCCCCCTGCAATAAGCAGGGATATCTTCAACTAGATCAGTTTGCTCAGAGCCCCGTCAAACCTGACCTTGAATTTTTCCAGGGTTGGGGCATGCCCAGATCCTTTTCCAAACCGATGGTGGCCACATTACCTGAGCACACCACACTGGTGTCTTCCCCGTGGTCACAGTTGTGTGTCCCCCATGGCCTGGCCAGGGATTCCAAGAGGGTGTCCTCCCTCCCATGCAGTTCATGTCGTCCAGCCAGATGGCATTGCGCCCTTGCCCAAACCAAGCCGCGCCAGAGGCCGAGACCACCGTTCCGCAGCCCAGCTGCCGGCACACGACCATGGCGTCCTCTTCATCTCAGCTGTCATCACACACGGTCCCCCACTGATGCCTGTGGAGCACTTCAACTCTCCCAGCACAGAGGCTTGAGCCATTCACCAACCGCAACGCCACAGGGTCTGAAATGGGACGAGACAGACACCCTTTTTGGAGGTCTCCTTCCACGCCTGCGCTGCTCATAGCAGCTAATGCACATTGCCCATTTTTGCTCCTTGTATGCCATCGGCAACCTGGACCTTTGAGAAGGACATGCTTGGTCCTGCCGTTATAGCGAACATCCCCAAACACTGGAGGGACATTGGATATTTAAAGCTAGGCTTTAATTAACATCAGCTGGAATAAGAAAACTGCTGAAATAGAGAAAATTCAGACATGCTTGCTGAAAAAGGATAAAAGCAGTGGAATTTGTAAAACTCATCCCTTCCTGAGCACCGGTGTCTTTGTACAATGGATCCCCTCTTCCTACCCTGCTCTCAATCCAGCAGCTTTTGGTGGTTTTCTGGATTGCAACAAACTCTACGTCTCACCCCCTAGGTCCCTAAGTAAAGCCTCTTTCTTCCTGTCCCCTTAAAGGCTTGGTCATGCGTTTCTCATTACTTTGCTTAGATTCTTGTGCTCAGCATTTCTCAGGTTGCTCAGTTCCTCCACACCCCTGGGGTTTCATCAGCAAGACCAGTCACCGAACAAGGCGGACAGACCTCTGCAGAAGAGCAACCTGAGCTCTTCCGTGGGGTTGGGTGCTACCCAGGCTCAGAGGAGACCATGCCACCAGCAACGTCACCCTCCACCTTTCCAACCACACAGCCCTACACTCCCCTGAATAATGCCATTCGAGAAAAAAAAAAAAATTACCTGAGCACACAACACCAGCATCTTCCCCATGGTGGCAATTAATGGCTTCCCTGATCCCGGACCTGCATTTGCAGAGGGTAGCTTCTGCCCCCGTGCACTCAACATCACCCAGCCAGATATGGTTGGACCCTGGCCCAAACTGAGCCAAGCCTGGAGCTGACACGGCCGCTCCACAGCACAGCTGCCGGCACACCACCTCGGCATCGCTCAGGTCCCAGCCGTTGTCACACACCGTCCCCACTGCTGGTTGTGAAGCACCTCAACATCCTGGAGCAGTGTCTGGAGCCATTCACCAGCCGGTGAGCTGGTCCTGGAATTACGAAAGACATATGGAGGTGAAACACAAATGTTTCTTGCCCATGTGTTGGAAGATGGGTCCTCAAACGGTGGCCACCTGCAAGGTGATGTGGAGACCGTCACTGGCATAAACATCTGATCCCATTTTAAGTGCCCTCAGGCATCCAAGAAACCCACGAGGAGGGGGAAGCCGTGACACAGGGCTGAATGGGAGACCCACCCCATCCCCATCTGGAGTGGTGGCAGGAGGCCAGCGCATCGCAAGTGCCACTAGATGCTGGTGTCCCAGCAGTCCAACCAGACAAGATGGACCCAAGGTAGAGGGGAGGTTCAATGGACTTTACGGTACGGTGACAACATATGTCATGTTAGCACCGTGCACGTATGAAAAAGGAAAGGATACTCATAGCAGAAGAGTCAACGGACCAGTTAAGGGGTTATAGGGGAGAGCAAGGTGGTGGTTGGGGATGGAACCTGTTCTCCTGGGATAAAGTCCTCACAGTGGCCAAGGGGAGCTGCTGCTCTCAGACAACCTGAAATTGGTTCCTATACAGAGGCAAGAGGCTTAGCGTGAGCAGAGCAGAGGTGTTTCTCCACTGAGTTATCCATGTGCCAATGTTGCTCCTTCCAGAGCTGCGCCATGATGGGGTTTGGGGTAGCTTACCCAGGCACACCACACTGGCATCTTCTCGGTGGTCACAGTTACTCGCTCCCCCGGTCTGGCCCTGCACTCGGAGAGGGCAGCCTCAGCGCCAGCGCAGTTCACATCGTCCAGCCAGATGGGCTCATACCCCATTCCAAACCGAGCTCTGGGTGGAGTGGCTACGGCCGTCCCACAGCCCAGCTGCCGGCACACCACTTCTGCATCATCCAGGTCCCAGCTGTCGTCGCACACACTTCCCCATCACTGGTTGTGCAGCACCTCAACTCTCCCAGAGCAGCGATTTGAGCCGTTCACCAGCCGGACCTCAGTAGGGTCTGAAATGGAAAGATAGAGAGGTGTCACCTTGTGGTGGTGGACATAGTGATGGAGAAAGCAAGTGTTGGATGTGAGATGGATGACGAATCCCCACATGTTCAGCATTTGTCTTGACTCAGAGTTACAGATTTGAGCATTCCCATGTGGAAAGAACGTTGTCAGAAATAAGTAAGGAAAACTAGTCCCAGAGCTCCTGCAGTGTTGGTAGCCTGGAGCTCATCAGCAGAGGAACAGCAGCTACTTGAGCACACTGCACCAGCATCTTCTCCTTGGTTGCACTTGTGGACTCCTTTCAGCTTGGCTCTGCATTCGGAGAGGGCAGACTCAGTCCCTGTGCAGTTCACCTCATCCAGCCAGATGGGATCATGTCCCCGGCCAAAGCTGCCCAGCTGCCAGCACACCACTTCGGCATCGCACAGGTCCCAGCCATCGTCACACACCGTCCCCCATTGCTGCTGATGAAGCACTTCGACCCTCCCGGCGCAGCGCTGTGGGCCATCCACCAACTGAAGCACCATGGGGTCTGGAACGAAGAAGGACACCAACAACCCTTCAGGAAGGGCTGGTGGAGATGGTCCTGGGCATGGGATCCCACACAGGACTGTGGCCCCCTCTATTCTCGGCTCCCTAATGTGACACCTTCACGAAACAGGGATTCCTGTGGTACCCAGCATGGCCATTCACACCATGGAGACGCTCAGTGGTTATCCACTTGGGCTGAAAATGAGATTGGAGTGCCGCCACCCAGCTGCCAGCACACAACTTCAGCACCCTCCATGTCCCAGCCGTTGTCACACACGGACCCCCACTGCTGGTCATGAAGCACCTCGAGGCGCCCAGCACAGCGATTTGGGCCATTCACCAGCCATAGCTCCATGGGGTCTAAATGGGGAATGAGACAAATGAATAAATGGGGGCATGGTGCACCTCAGCCCCCTGACGCAGACGTCCTGCTGGTGTTGGCAACAATGTACAACCGTACAAGGTATGAGTGCATAATCATGCTGTCCCCATCCACATCAACATCTTCAGTTGGAAGCAACAGAAAGACCTAGTTGTATTTAGAAGGTAAAAACACTGTGGGATGCCTCACAGAGAGCGTTTCCCTTGGGCAATGCCAAGAAGACTCTTGGACATCCATGTCCAAACCATGAGCGTGCTCCGGAGGTCTGCTAGGGTGACTACATCTCCCTCGGAGAACACATCTAATGAGGAAAGACTTTAATAACCTGCATTTATTTACTCTAGCCAAATGAAGGCTGAACTGGCTTGGCTCCATCAAGGAGGAGAGTCTTTCCATGCTGCTTCTCTGTTTGCTCTGCTCTACTGCAGCTCCTTGCAAATATTCCCTGAAGTCACCCAGGTTTTGTCTTCTGGTAAGACAGGGATAGCATCCCATTGCAAGCTGGAGGGATGAGGGGGATGTCTTTCCATCTTGGACTACCTCTTGAGATCCAGAAGCAGCTTGGGACATAGAGATGGAGAAGCCCTGCATAGCAAGCATCGATGGCCAAATGCCTCCTCTGACCACAGGCACTTCAACATCCAGAGCAGGTGTGCATGATGGATATGGCAGGCCACTTGAGAACCGACATTTTAAGGTGTCAGATAGAGAATTACCACAAACGGGCAGGAGTGCATCCAGATAGTCCATTGATACGATGCCTACAGAAGCAGCGCTACCTCACCTCCCAAGCATTTTTGACTGTTGCTTGCAATGGTGTTATACCCAAAGGAAAACAACGTGTGCAAAGAGGGAAGCAAACTAAAATTAGATGCAAGCGTACCTACAGAAAAACTTCTCCCTGAAGCCATGACCTGGACCAGGCTTACCTGAGCACATGACACCTGCATCTTCACCATGGCTGCAGTTATGGGCTCCCCAGGGCTTGAAGCTGCGTTCAGTGATGGCACCTTCCATTCCTGTGCAGTTCACTTCGTCCAGCCAGATGGGACCGTGTCCTTGCCCAAACGGAGCCCTGCCAGGGGCTGACATGGCCAGCCCACAGCCCAGCTGCTGGCACACCACCTTGGCATCACTCAGGTCCCAGCTGTCATCACACACTGTCCCACACTGCTAGTTGTGGTGGACCTCGACTCACCCTGAGCAGCAACTGGAGCCATTCACCAGCCAAACTTGAGTTGCTTCTGAAAAAAGACAAGCACCAAAAACATCTGGATGTCTCAGGAGAGGTGACAGGGCTGGAGCTGCCCAGGCTTTCAGTTACCCCAGAACCTCACAGCTGGAGGGTGAGGAGGTTGCCCACCCAAATGTGAACAGCAGGCTCCCCTCAGGTGCTCACCACCTCCCCAAACTCATCACCCTCCCTGGCAGGTGGCATCTGGATGGACATCCCCTCTGAAGCTCCCTCTTCCCTTCCTCAGCACACACCCACCCATCAGCAATGGAGACATCTACATCCAGGACCATTTCAAAGGTCGTCTGCTCTTTTCTCGACCCCTCCCTCAAAAAAAAAAAAAAGACTATGATAGCCTGGGTGCCAGCCCTGATGGGGCAGCAGTCAAGAGCTACCTGTGCATTCAATGCCAGCTTCCTGTCCGTGGTTGCAGTTATGGATTACCCAGGACGTGGCCCGGCACCGAGAAAGGGCAGCCTCCGTCCCAACATAGGTCACTTTGTCCAGCCAAATGGGCCCCAACCCCTGTCCGAAGGCAGCCCCGAACAGAGCTGACAGTGCTTGGCCGCAGCCCACCTCCCTGCACACCACTTCGGTGTCCATCAGGCTCCAGCTGTCGTCGCAGACAGTGCCCCATTCACCATCGTGGAGGACTTCAACTTTGCCAGAGCAGAAACTTGAGCCCTTCACCAGCCTGGTATGGGTCAAACCTGGAGCAGGTGCCCCTGCAAACACCCCCAGGGAGCAAACGGTCAGAGACTTTGCTGGGCATGCCATCGCTAGCAATGCTTAGGAGTAGGGTCTCCTGCCCAGCAAGCCTGGATGGCATCCAACAGGTTGTGCCCATGAAGAGGTTCATACCCGTGAAGCTAGGAGGCAGTTGGGCTGAGAAATGCCCAGGGAGCTGCAGCCTTGATGGCAGGAGATGTGGAGAGCTTTGGAAGTCGAGAACAGCATTTGGAAACTGCCTGGAGCAATGGTGTGAAGAAGCTAATTCTTCACAAAACTAGGGAGGGAGTAATTCTGCCTACCTGTAGGGGCCAGATCCAGCTCAAATTAAGGGTCCTACCTGTGAGTGGCCATAGGTACATGTCTATCTGTGAGCTAGGTGCCTACACTCACTGTACAATCAGAGGACACTCAGTCAACAGCAAGGGACAACCAGTCAGCAAGAAGTGGCTACCAGTCAACAACAAGGGGCAACCAGTCAATAGCCAGAGGCAATCAGTCAACAAGAATTGGCTACTAGTCAACAACACGGGGCAACCAGTCAACAGCAAGGGACGACCAGTCAACAGCAAGGGACGACCAGTCAAAAAGAAGGGGCAACCAATCAATAGCAAGGGGCAGGACGGTTGTCCTGCATGCTGTTTAACCTTTTGGTTGTCCACAGTGGCTGATACAAGCCATGGTGGGTGCATGTTCCTCACCCAAGCACACAACACTGGCGTCTTCCCCGTGCCTGCAGCTGTGGGCTCCCCAGGGCCGTGACTGGCACTCGGAAAGGGCAGCCTCTGAACCGGGGCAGCGTACGTTGTCCAGCCAGATGGGGTCTGCTCCTCGCCCGTAGCAAGCCCTGCCGACAGCCGACAGTGCTGTCCCGCAGCCCAGCTGCCAGCAGACCACGCGGGCTCCATCAAGGTCCCAGTGGTCATCGCACACTGTCCCCCAGGTGCCATCGTAAAACATCTCCAGCCGGCCTGTGCAGGAGTCGGGGCCATTCACCAGCCTTACGTAACAGGACCTGACGCTGGCGACAATGGAGAGCAAAGGGAAGGAGATGTTGATGGGAAATCATGCAAAAGAAGAGGCTAGGCAAGCATCTTGACACTTGTTGGCCAAAAGGAATGGGGAAGAACCACCAAAAGAGAGAGAAAGACATGAACAATTATAATTTTATTATAATTATTTTCAAGGGAACACACGGCAGCTGGCCCTTGAGCAAACTCCAGGCTTTTCCAGCTGAGAATACAGTCCCTTAAAACCAGGAAGGCCAAAATACATTAAGACGTTTAGCTAATTGCTTTTTAAGTGCACTGCTAATTGCTTTTTAAGTGCTTGACCCTGCACAGGTTGCAGGATGAACTCCCTAAGCACAACACCAGCATGGGTAACTGAGTTGCAGGCTCTTTGTGGGAGTGATTTTGAGCAAGACTGCAGCCAAAGCACAAGGTGCCAGGGACTCTGCACCCACGGCTCTAACCTGGCTTTGCTGGATGAACAGCCTGGTCCCCAGGGTAAGGAATGGAGCCGAGCAAAGGTCTCCCTTACTCTCTGCAAGCACCCATCCTGCTTCCTCAGACCAGCCTGACCCGAGCACATCAACACCATGATATTTCCTTCCCCATCACAGGGGAGGTAAATCCCATTCCTCCTCGCTTTTTGGCCATTCAAGTTCCATAGCCCATCGTCAGCGCTACCGAAATGGCAGTGACACGCTCAGTGCACTTGGTTTCTACACCTTTGCCACTTTTCACTGCTTATTCATAATGTGCTATGCGACTCTACCGCTGTAAAAATTTCTCCCCTCTTCATGGCATGCACCTTCTAGAAGATACTGGCACTTTTGAGGCAGCCTCAAGCCTTCTACAGCCATCAGCTGGAGGAGAGCTGCTCATTGCAGCTGGGCTTAGCAGCTCTGTGTCTACCCTACTTGCAGAAGCACCTGTGAAACCATGGGCATTGCTCTACATGCACACCTTGTGAAGCCATGAAACCATGGGTGTTGCTCTATGCATGCACCTTAAGAAACCATGAAACCATGGGTGTTGGCCTACATGTGCACCTTAACCATGAAAGCATGGGTGTTGCTCTAAGCGTGCACCTTACAAATTTGCAAACCACAATCAAACTGCACAGAAAAGAAGAAGAGCGGCAGCGCTCTGGCATGCCGTGTCCCGAAATGCAGCGTGCAACCAGCACCGGTGCGGGGGGGAACGCGGGGGAAACGCGAGAGCACTCACCACACAGCCCTGCTAGGACGAGGAGGATCTCTGCAGCCCCAAGCCCAGCATGAGTGGATAGTCTGTCGCCCATAGGGTGTCCAGCTGACAGCAAAGGACTTTTGGACAAGCTGCTCCCAGCCTGGCAGGGGTGCGGGAAGAGGTAGGCTTGGCAGAGGCTGAGATCAGGTCCACCATCACCAGCTGGAGAAGAAATACACCAAAGACCTGATGAAGGCAGCTGGGAGAGGACGCTTTCCACGCTGCTTCGTCCCCTGGTTCCCCAGTGGCTCTTGCATCATGTGGAGTCCAGTGGATAAAGGGGAACTGAATCTTCTGCTTTCAGCTTGATCCTTGGTGACTAGCAAGCATCCTCTGGCCGCAGCTGCTGTGGGTGATGTCCCATGGGTCCACCACACAAGAGGACATCAGAAGGGGGATGGGGAAGGCTGGGGGAACTGCAGGGGTTGGTGTAGGGTCTTAGCTTTGCCCCAGCGAGTGTGTCTGCTCATACGCGATGTGGACTCCGTAGCTAACGGACAAAAAAATGGATGAGCATCAAATGGCCTGTCGCCTTGATGAGGAGCAGACTCAGGTCTGACCCCACCGAGGGGGCTGAGACCAGCAGATTAGGCATGGGCACCAGCATGGCAACCCTTCAGGAGCATCTCAGAGGCTTGGGACAGGCAGCCAGTGCTCTTGGTGGGAAAGGAGAGCAGCCTCTTCCACTTTCAGCTACTATCTCGTTCAGATCTGAAGCAGGAATTCGGCCCAAACCTGCTGAGGCCATCTGGAAGAGGTCCTTTTCTCCATACCCACAGGCAGTGAGGCTGCAGACATGCCCGTGGGACCACAACTGGCAGCAGGTCAGCCAACGATCTCCCAGTTGTTAATTGCCAAGCAGAGGATGCCAGACAACACGTCTTCCTGCCTAGCTCTTGTTCTCCTTTCTTGCTTGGCTTAAGCTGCCTCATGATTCCTCATGATTCTTCCCTCCTCTTCAGCTCACCCAGGTCTGGGATGGGGTCTCCATGGTTGACCCGAGGACTTCAACCAAGTCTCATCGGTCAAAAATGGCTGGGGCAGGCTTTGACTTGGGGTTGCTTTTAGGATTCAACCTCAGGAACAAACCTTGGGTTCACCACAACGAAGCTCTGACTAAGCTACGAATTCAGTTTCGGGCTTCATTGAAGGTGAGCTGGAGCCCACAGCCAGCTGATGGAGATTGGTGATGGCTGTTTGGTATTAACCACCCCCAGAAATGCTTGCCTCGTGGCAAATGTCTGGGTACACCTTCGTATGGAGGGTGGAAGGCAAAGCAAGCTCCTTTTGCCAATTATTTTTTCCCCCGGTTGTTTAAATAAAATAAAATAAGGTCGAATAAGGTAGAAATGGCCACCAAGGTATGAAGAAATGAAGCCCCAACTTGCTGTACCCACTTTGCCTGGGTTTCAACCAATTCCTGCACCGCCGCTCCACACGGGGCGCTGATTTTGGGTGAGCATCCTCTTGCAAACGATGCACCGAGAGCAGTAGCCACTGTCGGAGGCAGGGAACGCCTCATGGGGAAGGGAAAGGGCTTGTCTGATATTGCTTGGAGAAGCCTTCTGCTCCAGGGAAGGTGGCACCGGGAGTCATGGAGGAGCAGGGCTAAGAGCAAGCATTTCAGATGGCCCACTGAGTCAGCTAGTACAGCCAATGCCAGGTGTACATGAGCAGGAAAACTTGTGTTGGAGCATCTCCAGCATCATCTCCAGCATCTCTGGCATCATCATCTCCGGCATCATCTCCGGCATCGCAGGCGGGGCAGGTGTTTTGCATCCTACATGAGGTCCCCAAAGGCACAGAAGGTGCGGGTGCAGATGGCTGGAGGAGAGGGACACCTGGCATGCTCCACGTGCGTAGGGAAGGTGGGCAGAAGCATGTTCTGATCCTGAGGTCTGGCCAGGTGAAGGACCTTGCTGTCTACCTGAGTTCCTCCTCTGCTGGGATGAGATCCAGGCTGCCGGGAAGAAGCAGGAGGAGATCCAGGCTGCCGGGAAGAGCAGGAGGAGATCCAGGCTGCCGGGAAGAGCAGAAGAAGACCAAGGCTGCTGTGGGAGCTTTTCGGGGATCTATAGGGCAGTGCTGGGGAGCTTTGCAGGGTTCTGTAGGGCACAGCTGGGGATGCTTGCTGCTACCAAGGCCAGGGGATGCATATGCATCCCCATAATATAGGGATGGGCAATATAAAGATGGACGATACAAAGATAGATGATATAAGGGATAGATATATATATATATGATAGAAGCACTATATAAGGATGGACAATATAAGGACAGACAAAGTGCACACGCCATGCAGTGACAGGAGATATGGGACAGCGAGGGGGAGCACAGGGAGAGATGCGGGGCAGGGAGAGGTGCAGGAGCAAAGGGGGAGATGTGGGGCAGGCAGGCATGTGGCAGCCCCCCCGCACTGGTGGCCCAGGCCAGCACCCGTAGGAGGGTCCCCTGCCCCATGCCCAGCTCCAGCCCCCTGAGGGACTATGGGGCATCCCACGTGTCCCTGTGCCACCATGTCCCCGGAGACATGCCGCCCCCCCTCAATCC